ATTTGGATTAAAAGGTATCTCGTATTTAGAAATATTCTTTTTCCTTTTTTCCAATTTATCTATAATATCTTGTATATCTTTTGTTATTATAGATCTTACTATTTTTTTAGCAAAATTTTCTTCCATCATATTTTCTTTAAAACATTTTAATATTTTTTGAGATGCATTTAATTGTTCTTGATATCCAATCTTATCAAACTCATTTTCAAATTCAATTTCCTTTTTATCTTTAGCTATCTTTTTAATTTTATATGGTCCTCTTTTAGTTCTAGGTTTTTTATAATTTTTATTAGTCATTTTAAAATATAGAACTTGGTTGTATTCTTTTCTTACTTTGAAAGCTTTGGTTGCAATTATTGTTTTTAAGGGTATTTTAGGTAGTTTATATGGTTGAATAGTAAAATGGGGTATTTTGGAAAGGCTATAGGTTTGTTTTGGGCATTTTCAATAATTTCTCAGCTTTTACTGATAAATCACTCGTTCGGGCTATAAAAGAATTTGGAATTTTTTTCCTCTTTTATTTCACTTTCTTTGACTTGAAAATTCGTGCGTTTAGATACCCAAAGGCCAAGCCCACAAATTTTGGACTTCCGATCCAAAAATATAAGGAAAATTTTGTTTCTGCATCATTATAAAATGGGAAAAATTCAAAGGTAGGAATTATCTTTAACGAAATAAAAAATCACGTCCCAAGATTTAAATTTACAAAACTAAGATTTTTCTATGAATTAATTAATTATACTTTACAATTAATTTATTAAATTAAATATTTAAATGTAATATAATATTTATATAATTGACCCACACCACCCCACCTTCACTGCTCCGGCGATCGGCGACTATTCTTTGGCCGCGCTTAATCTCGATGACTATTTTCCGGTGACCACTGGCCGTCGCTTAATTCTGGTAACTGCTCCAATTCCAAGGTCACATATATCTTATTAAGTAGTTAAAAATTTAATTTCGGTCACAACTTATCAAATTAATTGGTCACAGATTATTTTAAGGTCACAATTGAAAAAATTTATAGGTCACAGATTTTTAATTGGTCACAAATTAAGAAAATTACTTGGTCATAGATTTTCAAATTTGTTGATCACAGATTAACAAATTTTAAGATCACAGCTAAATAGTTAACAACAGAGAACTATATAATTGATTACAGATCAATATAGTTGGTCACATACACCCAAACACTCGTCCCCCAATCCCAAAACACCACCAATACTTGGTCAAAGGTCACAGACGACCAACTAGTTGGTCACAGACACTTTGTTTCATTCGTCGTCGACCCCAATCCCTAAAACACCCACCAACAATAACACCACCGTCGCCGCCTGAACAACACCACCATCGTCACCCCGTCACAACACCACCACAACCACTGCCATAATAATAACAAAAAACAACCATTACATCGCAGCCCACACCACCACACCAAGAAAAACACCACTACCGTCGTCGACTCCGCCACAACACCACACAACCATCACCACAACAATAACAAAAACCGACCGCACTACAGTGCCACCACACGGACCGCCACCGCAACCACCGTCAACCACCCGCACATCAAAATTCGACACCCACCACCTCCGCGCGCTGGAGCAATCTGAGAGATTTTCTCATTGTGGCGGTCGCCACCTCCACCTGCAACAAATCGGACACTGTCGTCCCCACATCCACAGATTCCCCGCCGCGAGGAAAATGTCGAGGCACTGCCGTTTTGGTCTACCTACCCAACCCGCTTGCAGCAGAATATACGCTGTCGTGTTGCACCAGCGTCGACACTGCTGTGATATGGTGGAGAGGAGGGAAAGAGAGAGGTTAGGAGAGGGGGAAGGGGAAAGGAGGAGAGGAGAAGAGGCGGCGGGTGGTAGAGGCGCTGGGTGAGAGAGGGGAGAGAAATGAAATGGATTAGGGTTTGGATAGTTAAAATAAATTTGGTGGAGTAGGTAGTAGGTTGGGTATATAGATTAATTTAATTTAAAATATTATTATTAATATTAATTGTAAAATTAAAATATGATTTTTGATTAAATAAAGTCAAAACCTAATTTTTAAAAAGGCCAAACTTAATACCTGGTTTGGTGTAATTTCCTCTTATAAAATAAAATTTTAAAATAAATCAGTAACATAATGGTTTATATAATTTTTGACATAATGTCACATGACATCTCATCAAGAGGTGGCAATGGGCTGAACCGGGCCAAGCTATGCGTACGAGCTCGGCTCATGATCGTGAGCTCGTAGCTCGTGGGCCGAGCCGAGCCGAGCTTCGGCTCACGAGCTTGTCAATTTTTTTTAAATAAACCTTTTTAAAAAAAAAAAAGATAAACCCCACATCTTGGACGAGCCCACAAGCCTGGCTCATGGGCAAGCCAGCCGCTTGGCTCGTGCTCGAGCTCGTCAAATGATGAGCCCGAGCCGCCCACAAACCGAGCGGTCGAGACTTGTTTGCCACTACTAATCTCATAATTGAACTGTTTTGAACTCAATCAACATCCCATCAAATCATATCTTACCAACTGAGATTAAGTCACTGTATTTGTTACAATTTTCGATCAAAGTAGCAAAATTCTTTTAAAATATACTATGTGATGTTTATAATTTATAAAATATTGTGTGAATTGATAATTATTTTAGGAATTACTTTATGCCAAATATAGATGTCAAATAGTCTAACTGATATATTTTAATTCAATTATGCTATGTGTACATTAAAATTTATATCATTGTTTACAATCTTCCACATGGACATCATCATCTCTTTTGATTTCTCCAACACATTTTTACATCAATGTCCAGATTGTGCCATGTAAGGAGGTTGTCAATCATAATGTACACTACAATGTACATTTAGCATTTTCCATTTTAATTTAACCTAATATTAAGCTTCACATTTAATGCCCATTCAAAATTCATTACACAATTCAAAAATTCATAATGGACAACTGGATTTTAGGCCATTGTGTTTACTCATACTCTCTTTGATTTATTCTTTATTTATCCATCAAATAGAAATTCGCGGTTGCAAAAAAATGAAATATGTATTGTAGATGAAATTTCAAAAAACAATGATTATTTAAAAATGAATGTTTCCATTGGGATGAATATGGTGATTTTACACATTCGATTGGGGTTTATATAATGGAGAATAAACCATATTCACAGCTTACAATGAAAATAAAGATACAAATACAGAAAAGATTGTGAAGAATTAGAACGAGATTTGAATATGATACATGATCAATTTTTGTGGACGAATTTGATGGTGTTGAGAGGATTCTAGATGGTTGAGAATATGAATGAATATGGATAGTCGTGAATTATGAAATTTTAACCTCTTTTATTTGTGTAAGGGGTGTGTTTGGTGGAAGATCAGCTCCAAATTGATTATCAATTAGGAATGAAGTAATTTACTCTTTTTTTTATTATTATTTTACTATCATATTTAAAGTAATATTTGGATTTAAAAAAAAAAAAAAATCTTAGAACATTGTTTGAAATTTTATCAAATATGATGTATTAGGCATAATTTTAACAAAAATATGAGGAAAACAAACGAACTTGACATAAATAGCTCTACATAAAAGCAAAAAACTTCATATTACTGACGTGGCAAGAAAATCTTAGTTATGGTTCTTTGAAACGATCATAAATTCAGATAATCGTAATTAAGATTTTCTTGTCATGCAGTAGTGGGAAGTCTTTATCCAGCCCATAGGTGTTGACTTATGATTGATTATAATCATAAAGTTTTGATTATAACAAACAAGTTAATTGTGTTTACTAACAATTGAATTTGAGTGATTATAGTCTTCTAAGTGAATCAATAATAAATTGATCGATCATCGTCAACAAATTAATACCAAGACTATCAAATCGGACTCACGAGAAAGGTCAAGATTAAGAGTTTAAGAGTCAAACTTAAAGAAAGATCAAGATGAGAGATTAAGAGCTAAACTTCTGTTTGATTGCAAGGGTAAAAAATAGATGAAAAGAAAATGAATTCCAGAGAAAGTAATTGCCTAGAAATTGTTTTGCAGAGAATCATTAATTAAATGTGTTTGATTGGTATAATTTTTCACCTGAAATTTTTTTAAATTTTGTGTTCGTTTTGTTTTGTTTTATATGTAAATTGTCTATTAAATTGATAATTTTTTTCACAATTGGTTATAAAATTTGTTTCCATGGCCAAAAAGTTAAAAAAAAAACGAAAAAAAAAATTATTTCCTAAAAATCGTTTTTTTAATCAATGTTTAGTGTTCGTTTGACTTTGTTTTATATGAAAATTGTCCATTTAAGTGATTTTTTTTTTTTTTACAATTTGTTATAAAATTTGTTTCCATTACAAAAAAA